GCATTCGCATTAACGACAGTGCAGGGAGTTTTCTGCAACAGTTGGTGCTCTTAAAGGGAGACGGGACCTGGAGCAATGTCAACTTGTAAGTTTTGAAGTGCAGAGTCATGGGCTGACTTCACCCACCAGTTGTCAGGCATGGAATTCGTTCTCCACAGACAGATTTAGACCAGGCATGCCTGCCTGGGTTTCGATTTCCTCTCCTGCATTCATGTGGCATTCATTCAACAGCTTACTGTGATATTTAGTTCCAAATTCTAGCTTAGTGTTTTTCAGCCAGAGTCCCCAGAAGCCTAAGGGATCTCCCAGCGTAACAAAAGCGTTACGCACAATTTTCAGGTCATTTGTATCTTGAGAAACTTTTCATTATTCGCACATTTGGAGTTTGAAAGAAGAAGAGTGATTTAATAGAAACATAAAGTCACAGAGCTGTACAGCACGGAAATGGACCCTTCGGTCCAACTCGTACGTGCCGACCAGATATCCTAAATTAATCTAGTCCCATTTGCCAGCATTTGGCCCCTATCCTTCCAAACTCTCCCTATTCATGTACCCATCCAGATGCCTTCTAAATGTTGTAATTGTACAAGCGTCCATCACTTTCTCTGGCACATCATTCCATACACACACCACCCTCTGCATAAAAAAGTTGTCCCTTAGGTCCCTTTTAAATCTTCCCTTTCTCACCTTAAACCTATGCCCTCTAAGTTTTGGACTTACCTACCCTGAGGAAAAGATCTTGACTGTTCACCCTATCCATGCCCTTTATGGTTTTATACGGCCTATTCAGCCTCTTGCTATTGCTCAAACCCTCCAACCCTGGCAACATATTGATAGCCACCTTGAATGGCTTTGCATGATTAGGCACGACTAACACGGGCAGTGATTAATACAAGTCCTGAGGGATCTTGGTAGGGTGAATATGAAAAAGGTGTTTCCTTTCCCTTTATAAAAGTTCTAAAGTGGGTGTGAGCACCACTGGATGAGCCAGCATTTGTTGCCCATCCCTTACTGCCATTGAGAAGATGGCAGAGATGCCTTCTTGAACCGCTACAGTCCATTCACAGTAGGTGGCCCCACAGTGCTGTTAGGGAGGGAGTTCTGGGGTTTTGAACTAACAACACTGAAGGAATGGTGATAAATTTTCAAGTCAGGATGGTGATTGGCTTGGAGGAACCCTTGTAGATTTAGATTTAGATTTAATTGTCACGTGTACTTGAGTACAGGAGTACAGTGAAAAGTGTATAATGGTGCCATCTTAGGTTCAGAGTAGTAAAAGAAACAAAGTGAAAAAGTTAAGCATTACCTTCATAGAATAAGTAGAAAACTAAGAAAAATGTAATTGTTAACATTAAAGATCTTCTTAATATGAACTGGGAAAATAAAACAATAAAGTTAAAAGTTCAACAATCTTTGATGAGTCCTCCACTTAGCTCACTCTCCAGGAAACTTCAGCTGCCTGTTCTCAACACTGCCACCGCAGATACCAGGGACCTCTCTCACCACTGGCTCTTCCCGCATTGTGCTGCAATGCTATCACTGCTACTGTTGCTGAAACTGCCTCCTGCCCAATCTCCTCCTGCTGCCTCTGGAACATGCCTGGGCACGACCCACTGACACGCTAAGATAGCCCCACGCCGGGCTGAGAGACCAGGCCAAGATACTGCCACAGGCTGCCGAGAGACCAGGACGAGACACCGGCCTGAGACACCGCCACGCTGGGCCAAAAGACGGCTGTATGCCACCGAGAGGGCTGCCAAGACAGCAGGCCTAGTGAGTGCCACAGGCTGGTCCAAGAGGATGCCTCGCCAGGTCCGCACTGTGGTAGGGAGTGAAGAAAAGAAGAAACGAAACACCAGGAGAGAGAAAAAAAAGAAAGAAACGAGAAAGAAACGGATGAGCAGATGAGTTCCAACTGAAGCAACTTACTCTGCCACCATCTTGGATTTGGTGTTCTCAAGCAATAGCTGCTCTGGAACTCCAAGATGGCAGTGGTCATGAGTTTGAAAGGTGCTCTCTGAGGAGCCTTGGTGTAAAGCTGTGAGAGAATCTAGAACCAGGGCACTGTTTTAAAATAAGGTGGGGGGGTCACCCATTTAAAACGGAGGTAGGATGAGATTTTTTTCTCACCAATTTTTTTGGAACACTCTTCCTGGAAAGGCAGTGCAAGTGGAATCTTTGAATACTTTTAAGGCAGACGCAGGTAGATTCCTCTCGTACAATGGAGGGAAAGATCATCAGGGGTAGGTGGGAAGATAAGTCTATCAGATCAGATAAAATTCTACAGAATGGCAGAGCGGGCTCTAGAGACCGAGAGGCCTACTCCTACTCCTAATTTCTGTTTGTAATGAAAGATGATCATTCATTCGATAGCTCTCTACTTCATTTTCAGTTTTGTTTTGTAAAGTGTGGGCAGAGGGACGTAGCAGGGTTGTGTGTTGGGGTTTCACAGAATTTCACAATAATTTATAGGGTTCCTTAATCAAAAGGAGTTGTAAACCATTGTGCTAACCACTCCCTTCGCAAAAAATGTTTCCCTTGGAATTCCCTTTTGGATTTATTAATAACTCTCAGGTTTATGACCCTAGTTTTCACTTGAAACAGGCTGACCAGTATTGTTTTTAATTGATACTGTGCCTCAAAGGCTTAAATAATCATTTTTTAAAGTCTCTGGCAGCAGATCATCCCTACTGTGTGGTAGCAGGCCACCCTCCGAAGCGCATCCCACCCAGACCCACACCATTCCTGTAACCCTGTATTTCCCATGGCTAATCCACCTAGCCTGCACATTTCTGGACAATATGGGCAGTTTAGCATGGCCAATCCACTTGACCTGCACATCTTTGGACTGTGGGAGGAAACCAATAGTGAGGAAACATCAGATGTTAGGATCTCGAAATAAATGAGGACTATCTAGCTAAGAAACAAAAACAAAAATTGCTGGAAAAGCTCAGCACCTGTGGAGGGAAATCAGAGTTAACGTTTTGCATCGAGTGACCTTTCCTCAGAACGTTCCTCAGCCAAAAGCCCTTTAGCCCATTCAGTCCGTGCTGTCAACTATGTTAAGAACACATCTATCTCACTTCATGTCAGCTGGGGCTCGTTGGTTGCATGTTTGCCCTTGAATCACATGGTTTTGGGTTCATGTCCCAGTTCAAAGGAACACAGCTGATATTCTAGTGCAGTTCAGGAGTGCTGCACTGTTGGAGGTACTGTCTTTTGAATGTAATGTTTAACAGAAGCCCAATCTGCCCTCTCAAGTGCTATTTGGAAGGAGATGTGGTTTCTCCCCAATGTGCTGGCTAAAATTCAACTCCTAATCAACATCATAAGAGAAACAGATTATCATGTTGCTGTTTGAGGGACTTTGCCGAATGCAAATTACCCACTGTATTTCTGTATACAGAACAGTGTATATAGCAGTGACTATGTTTCAGAAGGTATTTCATTGGCTGTGAAGCACTTTGAGACAACCAGTGGTTGTGAAAAGTGCAATTTTTGTATTATTTATTCATGGGATATGGGTGTCACTGGCTGGACCAGCATTTATGTTCATTCCTTATTACCCAGAGGGCAATTAAGAGTCAACCACATCACTGTGGGTTTCGAGTCACATATTGGTCAGGTCAGATAAGGATGGTAGATTTCCTTCCCTACAGGTCATTAGTGAACTATATTGTGGAGATGCCAGTGTTGGACCGGGGTGGATAAAGTCAGAAGTCACATGTCACCAGGCTATAGTTCAACGGGTTTACTTAAAATCACAAGCTTTCAGAACTGCTCTGAACAAACCTAAATAAAAACCGAAAGAACTGCAGATGCTATATTTCAGAAACAAAAACAGAAGTTGCTGGAAAAGCTCAGCAGGTCCGACAGCATCTGTGCAGAGAAATCAGAGTTAACGTATCGGGTCCGGAGACCCTTCCTCAGGAGTTCTGAGGAAAGGTCACCAGACCCAAAACGTTAACTCTAATTTCTCTTCACAGATGCTGTCGGACCTGCTGAGCTTTTCCAGCAACTTCTGTTTTTGTTTCTGAATAAACCTGTTGGACTATAACCTGGTGTCCTGTGACTTCTGAATTAGTGAATTATGGCTGCATATCTTTTTTTAATTCAAGATTTTTTTTAAAAAAAATCAAATTTCACTGTCTGCCATGGTGGGATTTGAACCACGTCCCCAGCATTTTAGCCGGGCTTGTCAATTACTAGCCCAGTGACATTACCACGGTCTCCCCAAACGCATAGGCCTTCATTTGTCCACCCATCTGCCTAGTGATGGGGACGTCGGGCAACAGCACATTTCACAGTAATGAAGGTTTTTTGATAAAGTTTGGTCCCGATATTATCCTTTGGTCGCGATGTCAGTCACCTGAATCTGTCACCACGGCTCATTGGGTTCCAGCTACCTGCAGCATTCCCCATTAATCATCACTGTTCTCGTCCACAAGTCTTTGACCACTATTCCACTGCTTCCCCACCTATCACCCTCATCATCATTCTGTCTTGTTCACTTTGTAGAGAGATTCGTTTTGAACAGAGGAGCGCAGAAGATGGTGATTTGGCATCTTTGAAATCCCTGTCCAATTCACTCCACTGTGCTGCCCTTTCCCCTGCAATTTTCTCTCCTTCAATTACTAATCTGATTCCCGAACTAAAGTCACTATTGGCTGTTTCCAAAGCTATTTCAAAGACTACATTCTAGATTCTATTTTCTAAAAAAAAATCCTGATCTATAAGGGGGGGGGGGAAGAATCTGATTCGGACTGTGATGGCCTCCGCAGTGGAAGTGCCGCCTGACAATCACGTCCTGGCCCAGTAAAATACGGAGCGGGCAGTCAGGTGCAGCATTTGGAAGGTAAGCAGGGCTCGTGAGACAATATCAGCCGAGGGAGACCGAGGGAAAAGGTGTGAACAAGTTGGGAAAAAGTCAACATATTTGGAATTTTGCACGAGTTTGCTCTCACGACCTTTTTTATGTTCGATTTAACTGAATATCGTACCTGAAAGCTGGCTTGCGTCCTGGATCCATCTGGAGGTGTAAAGTCCGCCACGTCTGTAGTGGCGAAAGGTATTGAGAGAAAACAGAGAGCAGAGATTCCAAATGATTTTTTTTTCTCTCCTCTATTCTACCTCCTGATATCCTTGAGCCCAGGGAGCCAATATCATCGAGTTTGACACCCAGGAAGTCCTCGACTCCGCACCGAAACCAATTCTATCGCCAGGAGGGAAGCTGACACTGAAACCTTGCAATCGAAAGTTGTCAGGATTTTTTCGAAACTTTCTTTTTCTTTCTTCGAGCGCCTTCAGTCAACCGCCCGCAGATTTTCCAACGCGAAATTGCGATTTACAACTTTTCATTTCTTTTCATGATTCACGCCATGGGGGTGTTTATCGCGCCGGAGGGAAATCCCAAATATTTCTTCTCAGTTTGCAAATCCAAATATCTTCGTTGTCTGCCAGCCACACCTGCCAGAAATAAATGCACGCCCGTTCACTTGCTCAATCTTTATATTGTCTACAATCCTGGTCACCACACTACAACAAGGATGTGAATACTATGGAGAGGGTACAGAAAAGGTTTACCACGATGTTGCTTGGTACCGTGGATTTTAGCTATGAGGAAAGGTTGGATAGACTGGATTTTCTGAAGAAGGGTCTAGACCCGAAACGTCAACTTTCCTGCTCCTCTGGTGCTGCTTGGCCTGCTGTGTTCATCCAGCTCTACACCTTGTTATCTCAGATTCTCCAGTATCGGCAGTTCTTACTATCTCTATTACAAGGATGTTGCCAGGTTTGGAGGGTTTGAGCTATAAGACGAGGCTGAATAGGCTGGGACTATTCTCCCTGGAGCATTGGAGGCTGAGGGGTGATCTTATAGAGGTTCATAAAATCATTAGGGGTATGGATAGGGTGAATAGCCAAGGTCTTTTACCCAGGATAGCGAAGTCCAAAACTAGAGGGCATAGGTTTAAGATGAGAGGGGAAAGATTTAAAAGGGACCTAGGGGGCAACTTTTTCACGCAGACGGTGATGCGTATATGGAATGAATGCCAGAGGAAGTGGTGAATCTTGTACAATTACAACATTTAAAAGGCATCTGGATGGTTATTTGAATAGGAAGAGTTTAGAGGGATATAGGTGAATAATGGCAAATGAGACTAGATTAGTTTAGGATATCTGGTCAGCATGGATGGGTTGGACCAAAGGGTCTGATTCTGTGCTGAACATCTCTATGACTTCAGCTCTGGAGTCATATGTAGCAAATTAGACTAGCTAAGGACAACAGATTTCCCTCCATAAATACTTTAGTGGAACCAGATGGGGTTTTGTTTTGCTACAATCGTTGATAGTTTTATGGTCATCATTCCTGAGATTAATCTTCATTTCCAAATTTATAATTGAATCTTTTAATTCCATCAACTGCCGTGGTGGAATTTGATCCCATGTATCTAGAACATTAGTCTTGGTCTTCAGGTATAATTGCCTAGTGACATTATCATTCCACCACAATCTCACTCTCTCTGCAGCATAGTCAAGAGGATCTCCAGGATGTCAGTAACAATTATGTCATCATACATGGTGAGCAGCCAATCATGTTAAAGTATTCTCATAGACCACAGACCAGGAAATTTAGAGCATTGAATCTCTTCACTTTTAATTTAAATATTTCAGTTCATTAAATAAATGATAATAGCTAGCTTTTATTAAAATGCATTTATGTTAAAACTTAAAGAAAATTAAGGCAAAATTTTATCAAAATGAGAAAATTGTCATTTAACAAATGTAAAACTAGCTTTCTAGCACTAATGAAGATGTTTAGCAGTAATTATGAATTTAGATGTTATTAAAAACCCTATTATGGTTCATTTGACAAGATGTAACTTTCTTAAGACTTTTCACAGACTTAACAGCACAAGACAAAAGAAAGACTTGCATTTAGATGGCACCTTCCATAACGACTGGGAGTCTGAAAGTGCTTTATAGTCAATGAAGAGTAGTCACTGTTCCTCAAAAATTTGGCGGCCAATCTATGCACAGCAAAGCTCCCACAAACTGCAGTGTGATAATGACCAGATGATCTGTTATATTGAGGGGTAAACACGGGCCGAGACACTGAAGAAAGCTCATCTGTGATCTTGCGAATATTGATCTTGCTTTGTGCACCTCCTGTGCAGTTGTAACCTGTATGCTTCACTCTGTCTAAGCACCCTATGATCTGTATGTCCTTGTGTGCTATGATCTGCCTGTGCTGCTTGCAGAACAAAGCTTTTCACTGTACTTAGGTACATTGGACTACAGTAAATCAAATGAAATCAAAAGCAAATGCTTTTTCTTAAAAATGGTTCTGTGAGTTCTTTTACAACTCCCAACCCGGTAGATAGAGCCTTAGTTTAGCACCTTATCCAAAACATGTGAAAGAAATTCTCGCCATTTTCAATAATTTCCAATTCCTTGCGGAGTGGGGGAGATCTTTAATAATTCACCTTCTCAAGGAACCTGGACCCCTTGACAGCAACATTTCATCCTATCCAAATCTTTGGTGCTTGTAACCCGTTCTTGAGATTCATCAACAAACATCCTATCCCCTGTATTGGTCCCCAGAGCCCCAAAGTCAGACATTTAATACTCTTGTATTCAAATACCTTCATGGCCTTGAACCTCATTATTTGTTTAAATTCCTACAGCCCACAAAGAGTACTCACCTACTCCCCCCAACCTTAATTTGAGAGACAGTAGGCAGCTGGCGGAAGAGACTAGAGCTAGGGGTGTAATTTAAAAATAAAAGGCCTCCTATTTAAATTTAAGATGAGAATTAATTTCTCAGAGGGTCATGAGTCTATGAAATGTCCTTCCCCAGCAAGCAGTAGAGGTGGAGATACTGAATATATTGAAAGCAGTGGCAGATTGATTCTTGATTAGCAAGGGAGTCGCAGGTTATTGGAGGTAGAGAGGAAAGTGAGGCCACAATCAGATCAGCCATGATCTTATCAAATGGCAGAAAAGGCTCAAGGAGCCGAATTTGTGTAGTTGTATATCTTCTCTCCTCTGATCCTAACATGTTCCCACACCTTGGAATCAGTCCACTTCCCAGTGTCCCTGTCGACCTCAAAATCCAGTTCTTCTAAGTTCCAGGTTCTGACTATTACTCGTGTGAAGAAATCCTTCTGAATTCATTCTGGAATGGCCAGGGAAGCATTGCTCCCTTTGATATGGAAGATTTTCGTGATCTTGTGCAGGAGGTGGAGGAAAGGGGTGGTTGTACCTCTCTGACACAGAAGGCCCCCACCAGTTCAGCAAGCTTAGCATATACTCCGGACTAAACCTGAATCTTTGCTGGTTGACGCTATGCACTGTGCCTGAACTCAGTGGGGAATTTCCCATTTCTTCTTTGGAGAAAACAGTATTGTCACTGAGAGAGGAAAAGTGAGCAGCAGAATTTTGATTTATTCTCGTATTGAGGTGAAGTCTAAGTTTGCAAGTTAGTAGTAACCCAATCTAAGTCAGAAAATTATAGGTTCAAGCCCGACTCCAAGATTTGTACATATTAGTTAGATTGACACTTTTGCAAATTGGAGGGAGGTGGTGGTCTCACTGAGGTTTTGAAGTGGATATTAAGTCCCAAAATATGTAGGAGGGTGTGGAAAAAGCAGTTAAAATGAAAAATCAGGAAAGGTGATTACAAACTGCCATGTCTGTGCCTTTTTTAATAATTCATTCGCAGGATGTGGACATTGCTGGCAAGACCAACATTTGCTTGGCGATCCCTAACTGTCTGCTGCCATTTTAAGCATGGTGAAGAGCACGATGATTGGAAACATGGGACACTTCTCTGGAGGATATAATTCAGGCTCCCAAGAATCCAGACTGAAACTGAATGTCAACTGACCGACTTTGTCAGAGATTGAGTAACACAACAGCTGCATGGAGATGACAGCAGAAAGAAAAACAGCTGTGAATACTGTTGTTTGTTCTGGTGAGAGGACATTGACCTCAAATTTTAACATTGTTTCTTCCTTTACAGATGCTACCTGATCTGCTGTGCGTTCCTCACAATTTCTGTTTTCTGTTCCGATTTCCAGAATGTTGCGCGGGAATCATTAGCTACGGAAGGAACAGCTCCCCTTGTGAGCCAGGAATATGTGAACCTACAATGATGCCCTGACACCTTCTTAGGGTCTGGAAAAGGGTGGGGCAGATAGTCCTATTCCTAGTCCTGTGCCTTCAGAGAGACTAGGGTAGCACTGATCCTGTCTCAAGTGCCCGGGGGTGCCTCATAATGCTGAAAATATGCCGGGGTGTGGTGCAGGAAAACTCTCCCCCCCCTCCTAAAATATCCCAAAATGCCCAGGAAATGTCAATGGATCAATCAGAACAAGGTCATCTCCTTACATAAGAGGGACAGAATCCATAAGCAGCTACTGCTCCAATCAGAGACTTCATGTCTCTCTCATGTTTCTCCAACTCCAAGCTGTTTCTCAGTGCATTTGGTGCTGGTCAAGTGGATAATCAATAACTGAACCTATAAAATCCCCTCAGGAACTTCTATGTTTCAATAGACTTCTCATTGTTTGAAACTCTAATAAGTACAGTCCCAGCTTGTTCAGCCTTTCTTCATAAAGTTAACTCTTCATCCCAGGATTGAGTTGAATGAACAGTCTCTGCACTACTTCTATTACAATTACATCCTTTCTCAATAAAGAGACAAAAACTGTACAAGGTACTCCAGACATGGTCTCGCCATGGCCCTGCATAGCTGCAATAAGACTTTCCCTCTTTATATTCTATTCCTCTTTCAATATTCACTAATATTCCATTCACTTTCCTAATCACCTTCTATACTTGTAGATTAACCTTAGTGATTTGTGTACTCGGTCACCCAGATCCCTCAGTACTACTGAGTTCTATGATCTCTCAATTTAAGTAGCAGACTACTTTTCTGTTCTTCCTGCCAAATTGGACATGTCATATTTTCCCACATTGGCCAAATTTCCACCCACCCACATACTTACATCCCTTTGCAAATTCTCAGTTTTACTTTCCTACCTGTAGGGTCATAGTCGTAGAGTCATACAGCATGGAAACAGACCCTTTGGTCCAAACAGTCCATTCTGACCATAATCCCAAACTAAGCTAGTTCCACCCTGCCTGTGCTGAGCCCATGTTCCTCCAAACATTTCTTCTTCATGTGCTCATCTCAATGTCTTTTAAACGTAACTAAACCCAAATCCACCACTTCCTCTGGAAGTTCATTCCAGAAAAGCTATCTTGATATCATCGTCAAATTTAACCTCCATAGACTCTGAGGGCTTTTGTTGTACAGTGGTAGTGTCCCTACCTTTGCGCCAAGAGATCTGGTTAAAGTTCCACCTGCACCAGAGATGTGCCATAACATTCCCGAACAGGTTGTTTAAATATAACTATGTTCGGTCCTTGCATCTATGTCATTGATATAGATTGTAAATGGTTGAGGGCCTAGCACTACCTCCTGTGGTATTCCACTAGTTTCAGTTTGCTAAGTTGAAAAAGACTCATTTATCCCTTTTGTCTGCTTCCTGTTAACTAGTCAATCCTTGATCCTATTACCTCCATGCATTTTTGGTTTGTACAGTAAAACTTGATGTGGCACCTTATCAATGTTTTTGGAAATCTAAGTACACCTTGTCTGTTTTTTCCACTTAACCTGTTACTTTCTCAAAAAACTCTAATAGATTAGTTATGGATGATTTCTCTTTCAAAAACTATGTGGATACTGTCTAATCGCATTGTGATTTTCTAAGTATTCAGCGATGAGGTCCTTAATTATAATGGATTCTAGGAATTTCCAGTGACAAATGGTTTCTGTTTTCCCCTTGACAATCCCCTCATCCCAGGAATTAGTCCAATAAACCTATATTGCATTCATCCTAAGGCAAGTGTATTTTTCCCTAGATAATAGACTAAAACTACACATGGTTTTTCTAGGTGTAGCCTCACCGAAGAATCTTCTTCTTTTCTTGTCACTAAGTACATTTTCTGCTCCACAGTGATTGCTGTTCACCCATGTTCACTCTTCCATCTTTGTCGTTCCTCTTTCTTGGGCAATATCTTTTGCATCATTTGTTCACTTTGTTTCTTTCCACATATCTGTCTTTGGTCCCAAATGTTCTTCCAACCTGTAAAATGACTCTGATTTCCTCCACAATAAAATCAAAATAAAAGCTAGAGAAACTCAGCAGGTCTGAGATCATCTGTGGAAAGAGAGAGAGAGAAGAACAGAGTTAACGTATCGAGTCCAAATATGACATTTGTTCTGAACTGACTTCCTCCAATCTGCTGATCCCAACATTGGGATACTTCACTCTGTTAACCCTGTTAGCCATCGCCACCCTGACATTTCTGTTCAGAAGCTCGTACACTGCTTCATTTAGAGTTAATGCTGTCATTTGAATTAGCATCTTAACTTCCCCCTAAATTCTCTTCTCGGGCTTCTGGTCTGAATACAGATGTAAGTAACCAAAGACTTTATTTTCTTTCCCATTTCTTCCTTTCACAACATTTCCTCACATCCTTGAGTCATAACTGACTCACATTGGACTGAAATGATAACAAGGAGAACTTTCATATAATGCAAGTCACTTTGCAACTTGTTCTGCCCTTTTAAAATCTAATTATGCAATCCTGAATCTATTGATTCTAGATAAAGGACAAGACAGGAGATTGTTATGCCTACGTTCTTACCAATGCTAGTCTTATGAAAGTCTTACTAAGTCTTATGAAAGCACTCTCCTCTCAATCATGGCAATCTGATTTATAGTTTGACTAAACCTGTTAGCTTTCCACTTGAGCATAATGGGTATTTCCAGCACTTTCTGTTTTTATGCCACAATTTCATAATCGTTAAAAAATCTGGAGATTTTGTGCACAAACAGCGAGGCAACATAACATATATGAGAACAGAAAAACACAATTCAAGTTGACTCCTTTTATACACTGACAATCTGAAACTCTCTCCTGCCCGTGATCTCAGCAAATAATCCACTTGTATAACATCTTTCACAATCTCATGATTTCTCAAACCCCATGCAGCTGGTTAGTTGGTATTATTCTAAAGTCTAGTTCTAGTTCTAGTCTGAAGTCCAGTTCTGAAAAATGGACTTGAAATGTTAATTTTTTTTTTCTCTCCACAGATGCTGCCGGATCTGCTGAGTTTCTACAGCAATTTCTGTTTATTTTTTGTTTGTTTCAGATCTCCAGAATTTGCAGTCCTTTTTTAAAAAAGATAGTTAGTTACTGTTGTAGGAAGCACAGCAGCCAGTTCCCACGCAGCAAACTCTACAAACAGCAACATATTCATGACATGTTACAACAGTGTTGGTTGAGTGATAAATATTGGCTATGATGTTCGGTACAAATTCCATGCTGTTTTCCAAAATATTCCTATGGGATCTTTTGTGCCCACATTTAATGCTCTTCTGTAGGACATCAAAAGCATGTGAGTTAGGAACTGAAATGGGTGGCTCAGTGGTTAGCACTATGGCCTCACAGTGCCAGGGATCCGGGTTTGATTCCACCCTCGGGCCACTGTCTGTGTGGATTTTGCACGTTCTCCCTGTGTCTGTGTGGGTTTCCTCCCACGGGCCAAAGATGTGCAGGTTAAGTGGATTAGCTGTGCTAAATTGCCCTGTAGTGTCCAGGGATGTGCAGGGTAGATGGATTCGCGGTGGGAAATGCAGGGTTACAGAGATGGGGTGAAATGATCTTCGGAGGGTCAATGTGGACTCAATGGGCCGAATGGCCTGCTTCCACACTGTAGGGATTCCATTCTGTGATTCTATCTGGTTCTTTTTTCCTATGTCTCAATTTAATAAAATCACAGTCAGAAGTCAGTCAACACCAGGTTATAGTCTAACAGGTTTATTTGAAATCACAAGCTTTTGGAGTGGTGCCGCTTCATCAGGTGAAGTGAGAGAGAAGCACACGTTCTGTGCCTGTGTGCTTCACCTGACAAGGGGGCAACGTTCCAAAAGCTTATGATTTCAAATAAATCTGTTGGACTATAACCTGGTGTCGTCTGACTTCTGACCTTGTCCACCCCAGTCCAACACTGGCACCTTCACATCATAATAAAATTATGGCTGATATGATTATGATTTTAACTCTTCTTTTCTATAAAATGACTCAGTATCTGCAGAGTAGTGAACTTAAAAAATTAACAACCCTCTGAGAGAAATTCCACCTCATCTCCATCTTATTTTTAAACTGTGGTCCACAGTTCTATAACATTCTATTAGAGGAAATATTCTCTCAGCATCTACATTTTAAAGATCCACCCAGAATTTTATGTGTTTCAACGGGATCACCTCTCACTCTTCAAAATTCCAATCACGTAGGCCCAACCTGCTCAAACTTTCCTCGGAAGACAAACCTTTCAACCCTGGAATCAACCTTGAACCTTCCACGTACTGCAATGTAAGGACATTGCTCCTTTAGTATGAAGACTAAAACTAAGCTTTATTTCAGGTGTGGTCTCACCACTCCAATGTACAATTGTGGCAAGACATTCCTACCATTATTCTTCACCCTATTGCAATAAACGCCAACATTCCATTTGTCTTCCTAATCACTTGTTGTACCCGTTGGCTGACTTATTGTGACATATGTACAAGGAAATTCTGCTGTTCCTCTACTTTGCATAAACCAGCATTTTGCATTCTTTCCACATTTAAATGATTTATTTTATTCTTCCCACCAATATGATGCCATCACATTTTCCTATGTCATATTCAATCTCTCACTAAATCTATCTATATCCCTCTGCAGACTCTTTGTGTCATAGGAAACTAGGAAGAGGAGTAGGCTATTTGGAGCCTCAAGCCTGTCCCAACATTCAGTGAGATTCTCAATGTGCTCACAATCTATCTTTGCATTATCCCCAAATTTGGCTACAATACACCTGGTCCCTTCTTCCAATTCATTAACATAGATTGCAAATAGTTGTGTCTCCAGCACCAATCTCTGTGACACTCCACCAGTCAGTTTTCCAAATCTGCCATTTTTCCCAAATGTCTGCATTGTTAGCTAATCATCAGTCCATGTGACCATATTATCCTCAACACCATGAGCTCTTATTCTTGTGCAGAAACATTTTTTAAAAATTCTTTCAAGGGAGGCAATATATTTATTGCCCATTCCTAAATGCCCTCAAGAAAGTTGTGGTGAGTTACTTATTTTTGAACTACTGCTGCTGTGTAAGTACTCCTGCAGTGCTGATGGGGAGGGAGTTCCAGCAGTTTGACCCAGCAATTGTGAACCAGCAGCAATTATAATTCCAAGTCAGGACTGGAGGGAAACGAGAAGGAGCAATTTTTAAAAGAACCTAGTTCATGGAAAATGGGCACAGATGACAAGGCCAGCATTTGTTGCCCAGTCCTAATTGCCTTTAAACTGTGACCTGTTAGACTATTTCAGAGTATAGTTAATTGTTAATCACATTACTGAATAGCCTTTTGTTTTATAAATCAAACATAAGATTTCTACATAACTGCTACCACCACCCCCTCCCTCACTTTTCACAATCCACATCATTGTTACAAGATTATTCGAGTATCGAGAAAAGTAACCGAAAGGATAGCGAACTGGTATTTTGTTTTTGTATGGGAGTTGCTGGGAAGGCTAATATTTATTGCCCATTACTAGTTCCCCTTAAACTGATTGGCTCTCCAGCCATATCAGAGGGTGCTTAAGAGTTACATTGCTGTGGCTGTGGATTCACATGTAGGCTAGACCAGGTGTGAACTGCAAATTTCCTTCCCTAAAGGACATTAGTGAACAAGATGGTTTTCACGATGATTGCTATTAGACTATGGCATCCATTAGACTAGCTTTTAATTCCAGATTTACTGAATTTAAATTTCACCTTCTGGAATGATTTGATTTGATATCATGTCCACAGAACATTAGCCTAGGGTTCTGGATTACTAGTTCAATGACATTAGCAGAACACCATCAATCCCTTTATGGTTGTCTGCTACAGCGAAAGAAGAAATGTAGCTGGGGAGGTCTTTTCTTTTAGACACTCCCTTGGGGAACCAAGGATGTCTTACTTCTATTTCAGTGTTGTGGGATCTGATGTGACTAAACAGTTCAATGCTGGACCTGCAAACCTTACTAGAGATAGGGCAGGTGCTGTTTGATAAGCAAGATGAAAGGGATGCTTGTACTTTTGCAAGTTACCTTCGCTGATCGTGTTTGATCTCCAGCCGGGTCTGTTGCAGATTCATGAGTTGATTTGCACCTTCATGGACTCTTCTCCAGTTAAGCCAGTCTTGGACAAGAGATACCAGTGAATCGGTGGGGTTACAACATGTTTTCAGACTGGCTTTGAGGACTTCCTTGAAACATTTCCTTTGTCCTCCTAGTAACCACATGCTGTGACAAAGCTCACAGTGGACAGTTTGTTTGGAAGTCTTGTGTCAGGCATGGAGATGATATGACCTGCTCCATGCAGCTGATTTACAGTAACCAGTGCCTTGACACTGGGGATGTTAGTCTGACTTAGGACACTGAAATGGGAGTGCCGATCCTGCCATTGGATTTGCAGCAATTAAACAGAGGAATCACTGGTGATATTTCTCTAGTGATTTGAGGTGTCATCTTGGCCACGACTCCAACACATACGGAAGGGCAGGTAACATTGCGCTATGTAGGCCATGAGCTTGGTTCATAGGCCAGTGGTGGAGACAGAATAGGAGGATGTGTCAGCGAGCGACTTGAATGCAGCAGTATTGGAAGAGGTAGCAGGAGATGGAGAAGGGTGATCAAAGTACATTGTGGCAACCCAAGTAAAGATGTGAAAGATGAGGACGAATTTCTAATCAAGTCTTTCACATTTAATTCTGCAGAGAGCTGTGGAGGCTGGATTATTGATTATACTGAAGGCAGAGTTGAGATAGATTTTTGGTTATTAATACCCATGTGGGACAGACAGGATAGTGGCACCAAAGCCACAGTCAAATCAGACGTGATTTTATTGAATGGTAAAGTAGCCTCTTTGGCCTCCCTGCTCCCATTTCTTCAAGTCTGGGGGAGGAGGGGGAAAACAGCCATGTGCGATCAGGTGACAACCACGAGACTCCCGAAGCACGTGACTTGCTGTGCTAATTGAGAGTCACACACGCCCCATTGAAAGTCATGGGTCACTATGGAAACGGCCCCGCCTCCGAACGTGCACACATAACGTGCGACGTCACGGCGTCCTACAGCCTTCCCTCGCTCATCCTCGGCGAAGACTTTGGGAAAAAGATGGCGCTCAACCGGAATCATTCGCAGAACGGTGGCATTGTTATCAATAATGGCGAGAGGTGAGGAGCTGTTGTTTCCCTCTTTTCCCCACCCCACTCCTCCACCTGTTAACGCGAACGGTTGTCACTGTCGGCGAAAAGGAATTGAAAACAAAAGTCGCTTGCGGCCTGGTCGTTCTTCAGAAATCAGACTCGTTTCCCTTTTGTTTTCGGTTGACGTTCGCGACTAGCTTATTTTAAAAATCGTGATTAAATTCGGAATTATTTTTAGTCTAGGTTTCTTGGTGGGCCCACCCCTACTGTCGGCGAACATTGTCGCCTTTTAGGTTTGAACTGGCTAGGGGTGTGGTGGTTGGTTTGAGGCTTAACTTGACAGTGCCGGGCGTGTCGATCAATCCTCTATGCCCGCCCCCGGACAATGATTGGCTATCTTTGGACCCGGCGTGTGCGCTATTGGGGGATGCACCCGCCAATCAGTAGGATACCGCGCCCACTCTGGGGTGTAAACATCATGTGGCGATGCTGTCATCGCTCTGCTGGCTTGTTTCTTGGGGCCGTCCAAATTCTACGTTAGAGATAGTAGGAACTGCAGATGCTGGAGAGTCTGAGATAACAAGGTGTAGAGCTGGATGAACACAGCAGGCCA